CCACCCGTGGGGTGCTCAGGGCTGTGTGGCAGCAGGGCAGGGCAGTCCCTGCCAAGTGCCCCAGACCTTTGCTGGCACCACACTGAGGAGTTGAGCCCAGCAGAGCTGAGTTTATCACAGCCAGGTTTTGCCAGGTCACATAAGCCACGCCAGTGCTGGCTGAAGAAACCTTTGTGTGGCTGTACAAGGCTTGGCTTAAAAACCACCATCAACAGGGAAAACCTTTGCTCAGTGCTCATCCTGTTGGTCTCCTGTCATGCCCAGCCTGGGTACTCAGCACCAAAGACATAAGCTGTGTTCCCTCAGGTTTTTGGAGGTTGGTTGGAGCAAAGTCCTGTTTCCCAAGGAGCCCAGGCTGGGCTGAGGTCCTGCTTCCCAACGAGCCCAGGCTGGGCTGAGGTCCTGCTTCCCAACCAGTCCTGTCTGGGCTGAGTTCCTCCTTCCCTACAAGCACTGGCTGGGCTGCACATGGAAAAGGGAATGTGGTTGTGGATACACCCATCACCCTGGCAAGCCCTTCGGGGAGAAAATGGATGCAAGCCACGCACGGGCTCAGATGGATCCAGCTTCACTCGTGTTTTAATGACAGATAAACCGGGCTCGAAGTAACTTTTTGTACATGAAACCGTAACTCAGAAAAGCTCGAACTAAGGGGACATTTCAGTCCCACGGGCTGCGGGTCCCATCCCCTGATCGGGGGAGCCCTTTGAAGCGCCGCAGCCGCCGCCTGTTCGCTCCCCGTGCATGCGAGGGCATGTCCCGAGCTCCCTCCCTGCGCCGGCACTTCCCATCCCGCTTTCCCTGCGTGGCCAAGAGGGAGAGGGAAAATATTCCACCAAAGCATCTAAACCCCCCCTCAACCCCACGGGAGCCCAAGAGCCCAAGGCAGGAGGGGCACAAAGGCGCTCCCCCCCGAGCTGCCCCTTTAACATGGAGGAGCCGGGGCAGAACTACCGCTCCCGGCGTCCAGCGCCGGCTCTGATGCCCGGGCTGCGCGCCCAGCGCCGCACGCCGGGGGCTGTAGTTCCTCCGCGGCCCCGGCTTTGTGGGGAGGGGGAGGTGGAACCCCCTCCCAGCACTGTGTTTGCCTGCCTGTTGGGAAGGTGGAGGACGAGGCGGTGCCGCGCTCGGTGCCCCCGGTGCGGGTCATCGCTGCTGGGGCCGTGGTGGTGGCAGAGCCCGAGGGGCTTGGGGTGCCCCAGGCTGGGGGGCTCCGAGTGCCCAGCGTGGTGCTCAGGGTGCACAAACTGGAGGACTCGAGGTGCCCAGGCTGGGGAGCTCAAGGTGCACAAGGCGGGGCATTAGGGGTCCCCAGGCTGCGGCACTGGGGCTGGGGGGGCTCAAGGTGCCCAGGCTGGGTGGCTTGGGGTGCCCAAGCAGGGGGGCCCCGGGTTACTCAGGCTGGGGCATTCAGGGTGCAGAGGCTGGGGAGGGCGCAGGATGACCAGGCTGGGGTTGGGGAGGCTCAGGGTGCCCATGCTGGGGGGCTTGGGTTGGAGGGGCTCAGGGTACCCAAGCTGGGGAGCTCAAGGTGCACAAGCAATGGGGGCTCAGGGTGACAAACCTTGTGGGGTGTTCGGGTTTGGGGGGCCCAGAGAGGCTCAGAATGTCTAGGCTGGGGGGCTCAAGGTGAGCAGACCGGGGGGCTTGGGGTGCCCAGGCTTGGGGGTTCAGGGTGCATAGGCGGTGGGGGCTCAGGGTGCTCATGCTGTGGGGACTCAGGCTGAGCAGACTGGGGGGTTCAGGGTGCCCAGGCTGGAGGATTAGGGGTGCCCAGACTGAGGAGCTGGGGAGCTCAGGGGGAGCAGACGAGAGGACTCAGGGTACCCAAGGTGGGGGCTCAGTGTGCCCATGCTGGGGGGAGCTCGGGCTAGAGGCTCTCAGGGTGCCCAGACTGGGGGTCTCAGAATGCCCAGACCGGGGGTCTCAGAATGCCCAGACCGGGGGTTTCAGGGTGCCCAGACCGGGGGTCTCAGGGTGCCCAGGCCGGGGGTCTCAGGGTGCCCAGGCCGGGGGTCTCAGGGTGCCCAGGCCGGGGGGCTCCATGCCTGCGAGCGCTGGTGCGGGGAAAGCGGGGCCGAACGCGGGGCTGTGCCCGCACCCGGGGCCTGCGAAAGGAGCCACACTGGGGGTCTAACCCGAGCCGCGGGCCGGGGGGGCCGATCCCGGCCCGCCCCATCCCACCATTCCCACCCCTCCCGTCCCGTGCCGGCGGCGCCCGGAGCGGCCTCGCCTTCCCGTGGTGCAGCGCGGCCGCGGCCCCGCCGCGCCCGCCATGTTGTCGGAGTGATCGCGGCCGGGGCAGAGGCAGCGGCAGCGGCCGGGGGGGGCCCGCCATCCGTCTGCATCCGAGCGCTCCGCCCGTGAGTACCGCCCGGGGCCCGGCCCCGCCGCGCCGCGGAGCCCCCCGCACCCGCCCCTGCCCCGATATTGGCCGGGGGAGCGCCGCCGAGGGCCCCCGGGCCGCCCCGAAACGGGCGAAGCGGCGGCGGGGGCGCTCCCGCCCCGGCTCCGCGCCGGGGCCGCGGCCTGGGCCCATTGTTACCCCCGGAGCCCCCCCGGGCGCGCCGGGGAGGGGGACGGGGGGCCCGGGCTGGGGGGGGAGAGGGTCCATCGCGCCCCTCGCCCGCGGCCCCCCCGGGCCCGGCTCCCCCTGATCCCGCGGGGCTCTCCCGGAGCCGGGGGGGATCTCCCGGCTCCCCCGGCGGGGCTCAGTCCCGGGGGTCTCCCCGTTCTCAATCCTCGGGGGGCTCCTCTCTGCCCGCTTTGTTGCCCACCGGGGGTGCTGGGGGTGGTTGGGTCCCACCCCCCCCCGGTTTTTTGGGGGGGTTTCGGCGGCTCTTGGGTGTCCCTGGGAAAGGAGGGGGGGTGTCGGTGCAGGAGAAGGCACACAATCCTTTCGGGTGACCCTGGCGGGGGGGGGGTTGTGTGGCTTTGGGTTTTGTTTTGGGTTTTTTGGTTTTGTTGTTGTTATTGTTATTTGGGGGTTTTTCTGGTTTTGCCTTTTTTTTTTTTTTCATTTCCCCCCTTGTTTTTATCTCGTGCTCGCACACAACAACAGCGCTCGGCCCTTGTGAGCTGAAAACTTGGGATTTTATTAAGAGTCTCTCTCTCTCTCTCTCGCCCCGACCTGAGAAACGCTCTGATTTATTTGTTTTGTTTTGTTTTGTTTGTTGTTTTCTTTGGTCAATGTTTAATAACTTTGTGCGGAGCAGAGATTTTTATTAGGCAGATCACGAGTAAGGAATTTCCTTTATGAAGGGGGAGGCGGGATAAGGGGATCCATGGATCCTCCTGTATTTTAACGCTGATTTAGGGAATCTCCTGGGTCAGGGATTCGCTGCTGCGTCTCCCCAGGTTTTCAGGGAAACACAAGGATAACGTTAAAAGTTCTGGTAGGCCAAAGCCACACAGCCCTCAAACAATGGCTCTACTTTCATTTTCAGGGCAGCTTTCAAAAAAAAAAAACAAAAAAACAAAACCCACCCAACCCAAACTCTTCTGCTTTGGGGTCGAACTTTTTGAAACAGGCGGTTTACACTGTCTTAATTTTGTAATAATCGGTGATTTTGAGAGGAATATGGAGAAAGAGCTGTGAGGATCCCTCGGTGTGGATTAAAGCTCCTTTATTTGGTGTTGCTGCCATTGGTGCTTAAAACTTGCTGGGAGATTTCTCCAAAGTTTTTGTTGCTCGTGGAATGTCCCATAATCTGGAGTATTTTGCCTTTGAGGATAACGTGGATCAGTTTATTTACACACCGTGGTTTTGTCCAGGGAAGAGGAAAATCGCCTCCTTTGAGTGTTGGAGGAGCGTGGAAGCCTTTGTTTGTGAATTCCTGATTCTCCCCAGCAAATGCTTTGCCTGGGAAAAGTTTCTCACCTGTTTTTCAGGGGAGATCCGGGAATTCCAGGGGCTCTGGAGGCAGCCGTGGGTTCCGAGTGGATCTCTGGGTGACCGCACACGTTTCTGGGGCTCCGTGTGCGCTTTTGAATGACAGGATTCAGCTGTCCCGCTGCCTCTAACGCGGCATTCCCATAAAAACACGGCTTGGAACTAAACTTGAACTACCCACAATGCTCCCTTCCCCTTTGCTCCCTTTCAAAATGTCGCCTTTGCCAAGTTTTTCCTCTCGTGTTTGGAGCTGCGGCCGAAGGAGGAAGCGTCTGGGAGCAGCAGGGACTTCTGGGGACCCCCTTAATTCCATGGACTGAGATTTTCTAGAGCCTCAAATCCCTCACCCCCCTAATTTTTGTTAGTAATGATCTGGGGGCAAATGAACCCAGAAATGAGTGAGTGCCTTTCCTTGCAGCCTTTCGAGGGAGCAAAGGCTGTGGTTGTGCAGACTTGCAACTTTGTACCTTGTGGTTTTCCCCCCTGGAAACGGGCTTGTCACAATATACTGGGAGTATTTTTTAGTGGATTCATAGTATCTGTCTATATTTGGTTTTTTTTAAAACACCAGCCTGATATAACTTGTAACCCCCTTTCAAGGGGCTGCTTAGATTTCACTGTCTGCAGTTAATACACCCCAGCTTAGTGATACATGAATTTCTTACCAGTAATTACTTCATTTTTTTGTTCTTACCTAGTGCTTCATTTGATGTTACTGAAGGATTTTTGATACTGTTTACAAAAGGGAAACTAAGGGGAAAATGGCATTAGATCGAATTGTATTCTTAACATCAGTGAAGATTTAGCAATATTGTGTGTTCACAGTGTTTTTTCAAGTATTTGGGGAAGGTGGTGATTTCCAGGCTCTTTGGGAGCCAGGGGAGTTAGTCCTGCTGAATGTTCTTGCTGTTTAAGTTGTGAGTGTATAAAAAGCCCTGCAGAGTGGCCTCGGGGGCTGTGTGTGGGGCAACAAATCACGTTGTGGGTGCAATTAAAAACATCTGATCTCTGCAGTTTTCAGAGTCGTTTTCTTCTGAATATTAACCCTGCTTTCGGTTAGTGGGACAAACCTCACGAAGTCTGATCAGAGATAGGGCTCGAGTTTTTTATTTTTGTGTCAACTTTCTCTCTCTCCACCGGCAGAAAATTGTTCTTGGAAGTTCCTTGTAGGAGTTGCTGTTGTTCAGAACTGCTGTGATGAGCAGGGAGGGAACTCTGAGGACCTTAGAGCTGCTCTCAGGAGCCACCAAGGTACAACAGTAAAGGGTCCTGGGGCTGGTGTGCAACTGTGCTGGGAGGCCCTAAGGCCTAAACACCCCCCACCACCCCAGTTCCATCCTTAGAACTCTTGCATTTATGTGCTGGAAGTCAGAAACTTTTTAGTAAAGACCAACCAGGACTGTCCCATGCCTTTAAATATAAATTTGCTTTCTGTGTGAGGGTTATATAATAGGGAAAACACTTTGCTGTTCACACCTGTAGTGCCTTTATTGCTCTGATAGCGTTGGCTTAAAATACCAAACAAAATTCTGTGGTTTTGTGCTGCTGGGATGTTACCAAAATATCTGGGGAATAGTAAATGAGTGAGTTCTGTCTGCCTCGTTTGCTGGTTGTCCTGGGTTGTTTTGGGTGTATGCAAAGCGTTTGAGGTATTTTATTTATTTATTGAGGTGCTTTATTGGGGTATTCGGTGCATTGAGCACTGAGAATGTATTGGAGGGGTTTTATGAGTCCTGGTTTGCCCTGGTGCCACCAACAGTGGAACTGGCACTGCTGGTTGTGCCGGCTCTGGAAGGTTCTCCCGAGATCCCGGGCACCAGGGGTTACCTGCCCTTTTTCCAGGGAATCTCGTAAAACGTGCCAGTGTGTGTTACGTCTCATGACCACAGCCAGCTTCTGAGTTAGCAGGAAGAGAGCACATTGTGTTGAGGACTCATTACTGTACAAGCAGAATTCCAGGATTTTAGGTTTGCATTGGGGAAAAAAAAGCAACTCCTGACTGTTGCTTTGCTACTTTGCCTGACTGAGGGAACACACTGGGATACAGTGGGATGCAGTGGGGCTGTGTGTTTGTATTGATTGAGGATCTGCCCTCATTTGTCCGGTATAAACAGGCACTGCTGGTGTCATTTGTGTTCCACTGGGGGTTTTGGGAGCTTTTTTCCTGCAGTTTTCTGTGGCAGCACTCCAGTCAGTGTGTTGTCCACCACTGAAATTCCCATTCTGATGTCAGCTTGATGGGCGCCTTACACAAGTCTTGTGTGTCCTGATAACCCTGTGCAGCACTGAGTGTGGGATTTCTGGCTAATATGCATTTTTAGGTGCTGTTTCAGCTGCTGGGTTAATGGAGGAAATGAGTGTTAAAAGGAGTCAGAGGAGACTGAGGGGAGACCTCAGTGCAGTTCCAACTGCCTGGGCAGGGGCAGAGGAGGGGCAGAGACTGAGCTCTGCTCT